GTGGTGTTGATATAGTTGATGTTTCAGTTACTAGATGTAGTACTTCTGATGAAGAGGATGAAGTGGGGTCTAATTGGGTAGATGTTGTGGATGGCGAGTGTGATAGGCTGGTGGATATTAAAAGGAATTCACTCTCTAAGTTTTGTTCTCACCAAGAAAATGTGTTATTGTCGGCTAGTTGGCGGAATAATATTACGAGTGTTTGACAAAAGTTTTAGGGTGGTGTGGTTGAGTTCCGTACTTTTTTATGCAAGTATGCTATTGAGGTTGGTTTTCAGTTTACGTATGTTAAAAATGACAAGCTGAGGGTTACGGCAGAATGTACATGTAAGAAATCAAGGGGATGTATGTGGCGTGTACATGCTTCTATTGAAAAAACAAATGGGTTCTTCTACATAAGGACTTTGAACAATGAACATACGTGTGGTGTGGCGGTTCGTACGAGTAAACATTCGAGGATGACTTCCAGCTTAGTTTCTGGGCTGATACTTGAAGAGGTAAGTGCAAAACCTTTAACTCGTCTAGTGGATGTTGTGAAAGAAATGAAAGACAAGTATGGGGTCTCAATCAATTATAACTGTGGTTGGTTGGGTGTTGAAAAAGCAAAATGTAGTACATATGGGGATTCTCGTTTGTCATTTGATCAATTACGGTGGTATTTTGATGAGGCATTGAAGAACAATCCAGGTAGTCATTTTGAGTTAGATTTTGAACATAACAAGCGTTTCAAAAGAGTGTTTGTGGCTTTTCATGCATGCATTGCTGGTTTCAAATATTGTCGGTCATTGTTTTTTCTTGATGGAACATTTTTGAAAGGACGATACAAAGGAGTTATGCTTGCTGCAACGGGGAAAGATGGGAATAAAGCTAATTGTAAATATATCTAATTTTATCTAAGTATGTGAATTTTCTATACATGTAGGAATTGAGTGAATGTGAATTTTCTCTGGTTTTGGCCACTGTGAGAATTTTCACTGGATTTTGGTCAGTGTATGAATTTTCTCTGGATGTTGTCATTGTGTGAATTGTATCTGTAGGTGGTCACTAAGTGAATTTTCTCTGGATATTATGATTGTGTGAATTTTCTCTGTAGTTGGTCACTAAGTCAATTTTCTCTGGATGTTTCCAATGTGTGAATTTTCTCTGGAGTTGGGCACTAAGTGAATTTTCTTTGGATGTTGGTAGTGTCAAACTTCTCTGGTTGTTTATTGTTCTATTTTTCTCTGCATGTGTATATCTAATATGCTTGTTCCTATTTGTTTTGTAGGTTTTTTTCCTATAGCTTTTGCTGTTGTTGATGCTGAGAATAAAGACAATTGGTGTTGGTTTCTTGAACATTTATATGGAGTATTAGGATCAGAAAGGGTGATAAGTTTCATATCAGATCGACATTGTGGAATTGTGGAGGGGATTGCTAGGTTTTTCCCTAACTGCTTTCATGGATTTTGTCTGGAACATCTAAAGAGAAATTTGAGGGATAAGTTGTCATGTGGAAACACAAATTTGGTTAGGGAGACGATTGTGTCCAAGTTTTCAGAATGTGCATATGCTCCAACAAAGGCATCATTTCATTTCAAGTTAAATGAGTTAAAAAGTGAGGGAGGAGACATTGTGAGTGTTTTCTTGAGAAGTTTACCATATGAAAATTGGAGTGATGCATATTTTGCGGGGAAACGTTATGGTGAGATGTATTCAAATGTTGCTGAGTCATTCAATTCATGGATACGAGAAGCTCGGCACTTGCCAATAACAAATTTGGTGGACATGATACGGTTGCAAATCATGAATATGAGGTCTGATAGGAGGCTGTTCTCTAGTAAATGGAATAAAATTTTGTGTCCTCGTATGGATAGTGTGTTGGAGAAGTCTTTTTTGGATGAGAGGGCATGGAATGTGAGTTTATCATCTGATAATGTCTTTGAAGTGCATTGTTTTCCTTCGGTTATGGTTGATCTTGGGTTGAGAACTTGTTCATGTCGAAAATGGGAAATAAATGGGTATCCATGTCAACATGCTATTGCTGCAATTTTTAGGAGTGGAAAGAATTTGAATTCATTTGTTGAACCATTTTCTCATGTTGATATGTATCGTCAAGCATACTCGTTTTCGATTGGCCCAGTTCCAACTGTTGAAAAACCTGTGTATAGCAATGAAGATGCTATGATTTTACCTCCATTGAGCAAGAAACCTGCTGGGAGGCCGAAGAAAAACAGAATTGCTTCTACTGGAGAGTTTAAAAGGGTGATTAAGTATAGTCGTTGTGAGAGTATTGGTCACCATAATAAGAGGACATGCAAGGAACCTTTGTTAAATAGTTGAGGATTATACATTTTATTGATTGAATAATACATTTGATGATTACTTTGTGTGTTTTATTTTGTGAAATGTATTTTTTAGACAGTGTATATAATAATATCAATCAAATTCATCCAGAGAAATTTTCCAATATCAGTTAAAGTGTGCATTGTGTTTGTTGATATATACTATAGGCAGTGGGTTTGTAATACCTGTCAAATTCATCCAGAGAAATTTTCCTATGGCAGAGAAAATTCTGTGTATTGTGTTTTGAAGCTTCATATTCATCCACATAAATTTGACAATGGCAGACTAAAGTAATGTGTGGATTGTGCTTTTTGAATTTGATAATTGTTTTGTACTAACACAGTGTATTAG